GCGGGGGGGGGGGGGGCTGGAGCCAATCCCAGCTGGCATCGGCGAAAGGCGGGGTACACCCTGGACAGGTCGCAGGTCCAACACACAGACAAACACACACATACCTATGGGCTATTTTAGAGTCAACAATCAACCTAAGTTGCATGTCTTTGGACAGTGGCAGGAAGCCGGACTACCTGGGGAGAAGCCACACAAGCACAGGGAGAACATGGTAACTCTGCACAGAAAGGTCGCGAACCCGGAACCTTCTTGCTGTGAGGCAACAGCACTACCCACCGCACCAAAGCCACTTTCAGACATACACTGCTACCCAGGAACTTGCGTGCTATTTCACGTCTAGGCAAAACCTCATATCGCGTCGCCAGCAAAGTGAATTTGGCACACAGCAGCTCCATGTCTGACTGCCAAAAAAGCAACTTCATGGCAAATTCATGGCTACCATGTCCATCCATCCTGAATAGGGTCACGGGGGAGCTGGAGCCTATCCGAGCTGACATTGGGTGAGAGGCGGGGTACACCCTGGCCAGGTCACCAGTCTACAGTCACACACACACTCCTACGAGCAATTTAGAGTCACCAGTCAAACTAAGCCGCATGTCTTTGGACAGTGGGAGGAAGCCGGAGTACCCGGATAGAGCCCATGCAGGCACAGGGAGAACATACAAATTCCACACAGAAAGGCCTGGTCGGCCCACGCTCAAACCCAGGACCTTCTTGCTGTGAGTTGACAGCACTAACCACTGTGTTGCTGTGCCACTGGGTACGATGTCTGAAAGTGGCAATATTTAGCTGCTTGTACTTGTAACAGTACATACAGTGTGACACATTACTTACAGTGGTATACAGTGATGACAGGAAGACACTCATTCCTTTGGGGGTTTGTTGCACTGAAGGCACAACAGTATCAGTGAAGAATTCCTTGGGGTCTGGAGTGTCCCCAGAAAATGAAGAAAGTGAGAAGTGCACTGTTGACTCCTCTGAGATTCCACGACTTTCCAAAGTGTTGCCACTCCCAGTGTCACCTCTGAAAATATGGATAAGTTGATGTACAAAAGGAAGTGGAAATCTGATGTTACTATTGATAGTAATCAGATTCAAATGCCATGCTACCCACAAATTGCAATATTCAAAATTACTTGTAATGAAGAACATGAGCTGGAATTCCACTTTCATTTGCAAGCTTGTGCTTCAGTTTAGCTATAGTGTCACTTGCCAAGTCCACCATCACCTCGAAGTCTCCCTGGGTAAGATTTTAAATACAGAGGAGAAAAGAAAGGTAAACATCATCTCTGCATGCACATGATAGGGGAGAGACCATAGATATTTTTTAAAGAGCTGAGTCTTGCTACTATAGCCAGTGGTAAGTTAGTCTTTCTACCAGATAGATTGTTCATGGTTAATGCAGCATATAAATCCCTAGACATGTTTCACATATAGAAAACTAAATAAATAGTCAAACCACGGCCCAAGAGCCACCCCAAACCCCCATCTGGCTCTGTCACAGTGAGTGAAACATATAGAATGGTCCCATATTCAAACAAAATAAGGTGTGGATGCTGCTGCTGAGTGAAAATGATCCCTAAGTGTAAAGTACCTCACCTTGAGCATGATGTGACACCGAACTGTGTCCTTCCCATGGGTTTCAGTTATCTGATGCTCAGAATTTACAGGAGCTGTTATCAGGTTCTCCTTTGGTGTAAATATAGCATAGATAACATCTCCACTCTTAATGTATCTGTCTTGTAAAGACCCTGTAGATAAAACAAAACCAAAACCACACATTTTGTTTTACTGTACAATATTTTTTAAACTTATTTCATCCAGCAAGTGTTGTTGCAAAGATGATGAGCTTGAAGTCACAAGGAAGTTTATGTAATAAGCCTGTATGATAAATGTATCTATTTCGAATAAGAAACGGTTCCTATACTTTACTTTTCTGCTTAATTCTCATTGTTTTTACACATTGCTTGTGGACTGCTCTGTTGAAAAGTAACCAAACTGTAAACCAAGAAAGCAGTTTCACAAGGTGGCTGCAGGACTGCACAGCAACTAGGTTACCATTAATGTTCAGCAACACTAGGAATTTAGCACAACTTCAAATAAAAAAAATATGGGAGAAGAAGAAGAGGAAGAAGAAGTTACTTTTGAATAGATAACAGCTAAGCTATTTTTTGGCCAGGTTGAGCTCATTTTCCAAATGTATGTGTGATTTATGTGTCTCTGTGCTGCTACAGTAAAAAGCGGTTGAGGCATGTTGCTAAAACAGACAAACTAGTGCATCAGCATATTTCAGCAGTGATCTAATTTTCTTTCTAAACTTTCTGTTATGTAAATTTATTATATACTGTATGCAAAGTATAAAAGTGTTCATGTATCAAACTTGAATGAAATGAAAAATAACTAGGTGTGTATAATTAATTCTTATATTGCTATCTGTTTACTTCTCATTCTTTTCACACATTTTAATCTGTCCATAAAAGGCCAATATCCACCCCAGTCATTTATTTTATTAACCACAAATAGCTTACATGTGTTGAAGAAGGGATCATCTGTCAGGGGCATGCCATCCACTGTGTACAGACACACACCTTTGGAAGATTCCATACTTTCAAGGTGACATATCCTCAACATCAGATCCTCAACTGTGTTTTGTGCAGGATCCATATCTACAAGTTAAAAATAACAAAAATTAAAGTGTGTTGTGTTGGTGTACTGATAAACTACATAAATTGCTGTACATTTACAGGCTTTTATGGTTCTGTACAGAGGTATATATATATGTGGTACCAGTATTTACAATAAGATGCTTTAAATGTATATTTCATTATAAAAGCCTGAAAAGTAACCACCCTGTCATAGTTCAGCCTGCCTCTATTCTTTTACCTTACAGTAAATCCTCATGTTTTGTTTGTTCTGCACCCTGTCATTCAGTGTGCCCTTTGTACCTGACTGCTTTTCTAGCTGTAACTTATCAGATTACATTGCCACATTTCATCAACCACCCTTCATGATGTTTTCTTTATGTTTGAGAAGTGTATATATCTCAAAGCAGCAGCAAGAGGAACCAGGAACTTTTCAAGGCATTTCAGTATCAATGTTTTTTTTTTCAGGTTTGTTCTGATAACTTTTATTTAAAAGTTATATGGTTTTCTTACCTTTGATGCATTTCGGTTCTGGACATTTTGGATATGTGTACAGCAGAGAGAATGCCCCCGTTGACTTCTGCACTGGTGTTGCAGCTGAGTGTTCCCGAGCTCTGAATCTGCTAATGTTTTTTTTCATGGTAGAAAAACGAGTCTTTTCCATTTGACTGAATCCTGTTTGGAAATATGTTGGTTTACTTTAAAATATTTTAAATGGCTACAAACCACTCCTATAGTTAAATCTAATGCTGTAGAAATTTTATTCAAGATTGCTTTGTATTTGGACTATTGCATACAATATCATTAATAGCGTGAACAAAACATTAAAAATTCATAATGAAAACATATGCAGAACACATTAGAGTATCATGGGTAATTATATAAAGCTAGATTTGGAGGAGCATTACAGTGAGTATTAAGAAGTCCCAAACAAACACTTTTGTTATAAAGTATATAACAAATGGCCCAAGTTGTTATTGTTGAGTCCCCTTCACCAGGAGGGTGAGGGACAACTGAGGTAGGACTCAATGTGCAAGACCCAGGTGTTAGTGGAAAAAAAGGTGGTTTATTGGAAAAAACACAAACAAGGTAACAGAGTCAATGTATGTGGCATAATCAGGCTGGACAGTACAAAAACAGGATAGGCTGAGGAGACCAGGACGAACAGGTGAGTGGACAAACTAACGGCAGGAACCAGGAGAACAGGAGGATCTAGGATGGACACGTGAGTAGACAGAACAACCAGGAGGATTAGCAAACGCCGTCAGGGAAGCAGAGTAGTGAATAAAAAAAGAAATCCACAGCACTGGAACTATCAGCGTAGAAATCAAAAAGACGTCTGACACATACCATGAATACAGGTATATCTACAGGTAATGCTCCGGTCAAGACGGAGCGTCTGCCAGAGGTTTAAATAAAGGAGCAGGTAATCACAGGAATGCATCTCAGCTGTGCACACCGATAAACAAGTCACTCATTACCGAATGCTGATCCCGCAGGTCGAGAGAGAGAAAGGAGGAAGAGATGCAGGCCGCGCTGAGCAGACCTCACACAAGTCATATTATTTTGCATGCCGCGCTGATCAGCCCTCACACAAGTCATATTATTTTCATTTTGTGAGCAAATAATAAGCTACATCTTCTGAATGGTTGTCCTTCTAGATAACTGTTTTAGGTCAGCTGTAGCTGCTGAGTTTAAGGTGATCTTCAGTTCATATGAGAAAAACATGCCCCTTTAAATGACGTTGGTATTATGTTAAATATTTTTGGTATTATGTTAAATATTTTTGGTTAAGCTACAGTTTCACAGTTGCAACCACTTCAGTGTTTATAGCAATCTTACCAAGGCTGTTTAAGTCTTCATCTGATATGCTATCAAGGAAATCTCTCTCATCCTTCAGGCCTAACTGTAGAAACCCGTTGTAGTAAGACTCCAATCTGTGCTTCTCAAGTAGGTTGTAAATCGCCCCCATCTAAAAACAAAAACTCAAATGTTCAGTGATATACAGCTTATATTATGATTTAATTATGATTTAATTATGTTGAAGCTTGGCAAACCTACCTTGCCACGTATGTCCAAGTACAGCTGTTTTGCCGTTTTGGTTTCTGTTTCTCTTCTGCTGAGGGAGTGGCTGTTTTGTTGAAGACGAAACTGAACAAAAAATGAATCGAGTTTCACACAGAGGCTTTGGGAAAACAGCAATTACAGTCAATCTGAGAATTTAGCACAGGTCAGATATGGATCAGTTTTTGTGAAAAGAATAATAAGAAGTAAAGAAACATGATTAATTACTTTCCTTTCCAATGTGCCTGAGATGTGCAGAGGATAAAAGTATCATTATTGTTGTATTAGTTCATGTGAGAAAAGATATTGCCCTTTTCAATTCAACTCTTTACACATACAGTTTACTGAAAACAGGGAAGGGTTCACGTCATACAACATTTTTATTTCTTTATTTATTGACTTTGGTGAGGAATACTAGAAGTGCACCTGTTTCAAACTGTTTTCTACAAATCTACCAACTTTCAGAATAACCTTGTCTTGTCTGGTGGCTCATTCTTTGGAGCTAAACCATGAAATTGCATGTTCATATTTACTGAGGAAGGAATATGCTCATCTCAAAGGTATTATGCTGTTTAGTCCAGGTAATCTTTTTGTTGTTAGTTGTCTGTCAGCAGCCATGATAATTACTTTTTTGAACATGAGATACGAGCTAAAACAAAACCTTCTCTTTATTTGATTCAATTGTTCAAGGATTAAGTGCCTTGGTGATTATTGAAGGCCTCCAAAAAGAGGCTCAGAGAGCTCTTCAAGAGGGCGTCCACCTCCTGCACCCAGAGGACACTGGTCGCCTCAGCCACATCCTTCTAGCAGCCTCCATCATTCAGACTGTCAGCTACAGCCTGGTCACTGAGCTCTTTAAGCCCACTGGCAACACACCTATGCTACATTTATTACATTTAATATTATTGCTTTAATAAACGAGTGTTTTACTGTGGATTTTATTTTACATTGAAGAGTGCATTACATAAACATTTTAATGCCATTTTTGACTTGATGAAGTTATGGGTTTAAGGAATGTATGACTTCTATGAATGCACAGGAATGAGTGGCCTAATGGAAAGGGAACTAAGGCTTGACATTTGACTTTGACTCCCTCCTGTGGCCATATGTGGGAAACAACAGGCAAACAGCACTTTGTTTCACTTCAGAGACTTTATTGTATAATGAGACATCTTGACAGTTTACTATCAGTAAAGTAAAGTAAGTCTGCCAACACATTTTTGCCAAAAATATAACATTTCCTTGGGTGAAAATTGAAGCAATATACTTGGTCTATAGGAAAGCTGACACATTGTGGTAAAAGGTTTTTGAGATAATTACATATATTGGTATCACACAGGCACATTCATCACTTTCTAATTGGTCAAGAGCATTTGCTGCTTCTTGATCCAAAGCAGAACAACCAGTTTTACATAATTCCACTATAACCACACTGGAGATGCAGCCAGTTTCCTGACTCACTAGAAAGCCAGCATCAGTCCATATTAGCCAAGGTAAGCATGTGGTTTATTTTTTTACAACTAGAAGTGAAATAGGGCAAAATAAGAAAGATCCTGGCAGACAAGTGGACAGTTAGACCAATCATTTAGCTACCCATGTGTATTAACTGAAGCCACTATAATAGCATCAATGCCTAACAGTAACTGTGCTCTAATGCTGATGGCCACAGTGCCAAAAACCTTCCAATGAGTGAGCGGGTCAAACTCCCATCAGGACCCAGGAGCAAACACAGCAACCTGAAGTCTAGCTGCAGTTCAGACCAGCTTTCATACATCTTTCAATCTGAGAGGTACGTTACTGACAGACCAGGACGCAACCAAAACTAGCAACCACAACACATCAAACACTAATTACCTTCCAACTTAAGAGCTACTGTATCTGCTTCATATGAACTTCATGTTATGACACTAACAATAATCTGTTCTGAAAAGAAAAAAAAAATTACACTCCACATTAAAATCACAATAGAGATAAAAGGAATAAGCTTGACATTAAAGAAAATCTTAACTGAAGGTCCACTTACTTGCTTCTTTCAGTGTCTATCAACTTGTTTTTCCTCAGGGAAAGCAAAAGAACAAAACAAAAAACAGATACTGTATATTTTGGGAAACAATATTATTCACAATCTTGTCAAGAGGATGCCATTCTCATTTTGTATGGTAAATATCAAACCACCACCAGTGTCCAGTTAGCTTAGCTTAAACACAGGAAACAAGGAGAAACAGCTGGCCTGGATCTGTCCAAAGAAAACAAATATGTCCACTAGCACCTCTAAAGCTCACTAATAGACAAGTTGTGGTAAAGAAATAGTCCAGTATAAAACCCCCTGTAAAACCACAACTTCTTGATTTTACACTTTGGGTTTCATACAAAATAAACAAATGAGCATTAATATAAATTAGTGAGCTTACAGGTGTTGCCAAACAGATTTTGTTTGCTTCAGACAGGGTTTTCCTCTATAATAATAATAATAATAGTAAGGTCCAGACCTTTACTTTGTAAAGTGCCCTGAGATGACTTTTCTTGTGATTTGGCGCTATACAAATAAAACTGAACTGAAAAATTATGCTAAACTAAGCTAACTAGCTATAGAATTGGTTTCAGCATACAGATATGAAAGTGGTATTAATCTTATTGTTTAAGTCTCAGCCATAAAGCTATTGAGCATATTTGCCAAAATGTCAAGCTATTCCTTCAACAGAATTTTGGTAAATATGCCCATGTGTGCGCACACACAAAAAGGGGATTTTGAACCATCATATAAAACAGCTTTTTTGTTTTGCCAAATATTCTTAATTCAGTCTTTTACATTGTTGCCTCTTTTGCACACTACCATGCCTTCTATCATTAACTAAAAATATGTCACTTTATGAAAATGATCAGAACCAAATTTATGATCAGAAATTCAGAATCCCTGGCTGTAAATAGGTGTTACATATCCACTACATTGAAAGCACTGAATACAGTTTAAAACTACACAAATTAGTTTAAAATCAAATCTATGAGAAGAAAATGAAATGTGCCAAAAAACTCAAATTTTACTGAATTAGATTTTAAAATCTATTGCATAGCAACAGCTCATTCACCTGACCAGCAATAAACAGAGTCAGATTTCATGAACAGTTCTTCAAGGATGAGGGGACGGTTACGTGTGATACAATATTTACAGTATGAGCTGCTGGTAATATCGGCCTGCAGGGCAAACTCTCAGACAAGCAATCCTTCAAATACATACATAATATTTATCAACCATAAATATCTACACACAGAGCCCTGAGTTCAGTGAAGTCCTTCAGATAGCGTGGCCGTTCACATTTTCTATTTCCACAGTAAAGCCATGGCTTCCGCTCAGCCAGAAACTCAAGTGCAAGTGGTGTCCCCATTAGAGTCCCATATGTGACCTTGTGGACACAGTATGGCAAATAATTCAAGCATAAACAGCCAAGTGGAGCAGGACTCATGTTCTCACAGAGGTGTGAATCAGTGGAGCGCCTGAAGAGTTGGTCTCTGTGTTAGAAGGTGAGTAGGCTCTTGACGAACTGGACGTATGACCTATAAGAACAACAACAAAAAAGAAGACAGAAGAAGAGACTGAGCATTGAATCTGCATACTACCAACCCCATTCACAGTGCACTGGAAATTGCTGAGGTTTGTATTGTATGGAGACCATTCAATCCCATTCTACCAGACAGTATTTACTCGACAGACTAACGCAAAGGCCACTTTGGATTTTTTAATAAAAGGTATTGTGAATTTTTTGCTTAGTGGAGCAATATAATATATAATGAGTTAAGGCCTCATGCAAGAACCACTTGTATGAACACAACTGTTCATAAATGGCGCATACAAATGATTTTCAAATGTAATTTCTTAATCCCAATGAAGCTGAATGTTTAAATACAATATCAAAATCAACTATATTAAAAAACTGTCTAAATTAACTTTTAAAAAGGACTACTAAGAAGTTCAGTAATGTTCTGTGACTATCACGTCCTTGTTTTTGTCCAAGTCCCATCATGGAACCCTTTGCTTTAGCATCTTCATGTCAGACTTTTTCCTCTTTATTTCTGTCAAAGCGCAGTTCAGCTCTGATGAAACACCATAGGAGCAGGTGAAAAGGTGACGTTCTTCGAGTTCAAACAAGCCGATGTCAAGTATAAGCTGAGAGAATTTGGTGAATCTAACCTAGAGTAACAGTGTATAAGCGAGCCTTACAGAAGAACATGTCTGTGCAGATTCTCAGTCATCCAGGTCATAGTAAGATGAAAAAACTTAGAAAAATCAACTGGACTAGGTTTCTAGGTCAAATATGTTTCCGCTCTCATCCAAGAGGCTTCATCAGTTCTGCCTGACTGGCATTGAGTCGGAGATATTTATCCCCATTGGTGGTGTTTCAGCCCTTTGATGGCCAACAATGTCCCCTAACAACTGAGTCTCTTCTTCACTGCCTTGACAGCCTCTGTGGTGGGGATGCAAGTGAACAAGGATGTGAAATCATAAGGGAATCTCGTCTTGGTCCAGCTGCAGTTGTTTGACTTTCCTCATGAAGTTCTGGGAGTTAATTATGTGTTTTTCTGGGTTTCCCACCAAAGGAGCCAGAATGATGGCCACGTGCTTGGCTATGTTTTAAGTCACAGAGTTGATGCTGCTAATGATGGGTCTGAGTGGGGCTCCTTCCTTGTGTATTTTGGGTAGGCCATAAAGGCAAGGGATGGCCTCCCCGGGGTATAGTCTGTAGTATAGTCGCCGGTCGATAACTCCCTCCTTTTCCAGCTTCTGTAAACAGTCTATTGTGATGGTTTCATCCTTCTCTAGTGCAGCTAAAGCCCTCCTTTCCTCAGGGGTAAGGTTTGAGGGTGGGAGTTTGGCACTGGCCAAAGCGGCTGTGACCTTCATCCGCAGTTCTTCCACCTCTGTCTCAGGCAGCTTGTTGTTCCTAATGGCTGACTCTATCGCTGTGATGAAGTCTACCACAGGGATTTGTTTGGATGTGACCGCAAGGTTCAATCCCTTGGCTAATACCTCTTTTTCTGTGTCCGTGAGTTCTCTGTCCAAGAGATTTTTGACCCATTTGTCGTGCAATGGTTGTGGGTTGTGCTCCTCCTTTCTCCTCCACCCGAGGACATCTGAGGCTGGCTGTCCATTGTGTAGTCTCTGGAATTTAACCATTTGGCGTGCCTTGCTGTTGTTGTGTTAGGTAATTTGCACCTTCTCTAAGAATCTTGAGGTCTCCTGAAAGATTTCTCTGGTAACCTTGGTGGAGAGTCTCTTTCTTAGTTGTTCTGTTTGGTCCATAAGGTTGTCTACAGTGAAGTGTATTTGTCAAATCCTTTCACTTAAAAGTTCTGCTCGAGTTCTTCTCAGGATGTTCACCAGCCCTGTATCCTTTTACAGAAAAGCCCAGCCTCTTCTGCTTACAGAAGAACAGTATTTTGGATTAGAATACAAAAATGCCTAAGGCTCTTATCCTTCTGTCATTAAAAATCTTGCACACACAGACATTTTTAAAACAGCTGACAATCAACCATTTGTGTACAGTAGCTCGTTTCATTTTCAGTTCCGTTCCATTTCAGTTCCATTTGTGAATCTTTCGAAGACATTACACCTGCACACTGCTGCCAAGAAGGACACAGAGGTCATGGCCTCTGTACAGTCGGGTCCATAAGTATTTGGACAGTTACAACTTTCATAATTTTGCCTCTGAAACAAGTAGCCAAAATGTTATTGATGAGTAGACTTTCTGCTTTAATTCAAGGGGTTAAACAAACTTATTGGATTAATTGTTCAGGAATTATAGCCATTTTATACATAGTGCCCCCAATTTGACAGGCTCAAAAGTAATTGGACAAATGACTGACAAGCAGTTTCATGGTCAGATTTGGTATGTTCCTCATTATTTCATGACAAATGAAACAGATAAAAGGTCTGGAGTTGATTCCAGCTGCATTTGGCAGCTGTCAATTGGAACTCCCAGTATGCGGTCCAAAGAGGTGTCAATAGAAGTGAAGGAGACCATCATAAGGCTTAAAAAAACAAAAAAACTCTATCAGAGAGGTAGTAGAAACATCAGGAATGGCCAAATCAACAATTTGATACATTCTCAAAAAGAAGGAATGCACTGGTGGCGTAAATGAAAGAAGGATGGACTGCATGTCTCCTTGGCCATCTTAAGGGACAATCTTGCTACTTATCAAAAAGCCGTAAAAGAAGCTAAAACTCAATATTTATCCAACATCATTTCTAACAGCCACCATCCCAGAGTTCTTTTTAGCACCATAAATTCTGTTATTAATCCTGTCACCACTGTGTTCAATGAGGTGTCTGTGCATACCTGCAATGTGTTTCAACAGTACTTCATTGATAAAGTTCTGTCTATCAGGCAAAATATCTCCACATCCTCAACTGTGGCTCCAACTGGGTCTCCTGTACAGTTTTCCTTGGAAAGATTTACGCCAATTTCCTTGTTGTAACTCAAAAAAAAATCAGTGCAGCAGCTAAATTCCACCTATTGCCCTCTGGATATTGTCCGTGCTAAGATAATGAAGGAGGTCATTGACACTATTGGGCCTTGCCTGGTCACATTTATTAACAGCGGCCTCAGGCTGGGTATTGTCCCCGCTGCCCTCAAGCATGCTGTAGTCAGGCCACTTCAAAAGAAGCCTAACCTCAATCCCATACTTCCTTCAAATTTTCGCCCAATCTCACATTTGCCTTTTTTGTCCAAGGTTATGGAGAAAACTGTCCTCACACAACTCCAGTCTCATCTTGAACTTTATGCTATTGCCGATAAAATTTCAATCAGGCTTTAGATCCTGGCACAGCACTGAATCCGCGCTACTGAAGGTGCACCATGATATTCTTTTACAGCCCTTGATGCAAAGAATACCGTTGTTTTAGTGCTTTTCGATCTCACAGCAGCCTTTGACACCGTGGACCATACAGTCCTCATATCCTGCCTTGAACATTGCGTTGGCTTGTGTGGTGCTGTGCTTAAATGGTTTATTTCTTTTCTGACCAATAGGACCTTTTCAGTTATGATCAATGACTCTACCTCCCCAAGGTTCAATCCTGGCGCCTATTCTTTTCTCATTATATATGTTACCGTTAGGCTCAATTATTTCTAAGCATAACATTCGTTTCCATTTTTATGCTGATGATGTGCTGATTTACTTGCGGTTGATGCAGAGTGATGCTAATGCACTAGCCCCCTTGCAACGGTGTTTGGGTGATATGGAAGAGTGGCTCGCACAGAATTTCCTTCATATAAATGAAGGGAAGACTGAATATATCGCTTTTAGCCTGGACCCCACTCACACTGTATCTGGCCTAGGAGCTTCAGCCCTGTTATTCACTCAAACTGTGAAAAACCTGGGAGTGTTATTTGACAGCAGCCTCAAATTTGACAAGCAGATTAGTTCGGTGGTCAAAATAAGCTTCTTTCAGCTGAGGCTCCTAGCAAAGGTGAAACCTTTTTTATCTCGAGCTGACCTAGAAAAAGCCATTCATACCTTCATTAACTCACAGCTTGACTACTGCAATGCCCCTTATAATGGAATTAGTCAGTCTCAGCTCCTTAGGCTCCAACTCGTACAGAACGCAACTGCTCGCCTACTGTCAAACACTCCAAAGAATGCTCACATCACCCCGATTCTTCAGTCCCTTCACTGGCTTCCGGTACAATTTAAAATAGATTTTAAAATTTTACTGTTTGTGTTCAAGGCCATTAATGGTCTTGTGCCAGTCTATTTGACTGATCTTTTAACCACTTATACCCCGTTTAGAGCGCTGCGTTCCTCTGAGCATGTGTCTCTGGTTGTCGTGCAGGCAAGGTATAAAAAGTGGGTAGATCGTTCTTTCACCGTGTATGCCCCTAAGCTCTGGAATGCCCTGCCCCCTGAGGTTCGATCTATAACAGAGTTAATGGTTTTAAGTCTAAATTAAAGGCACATTTATTCAGACTGGCTTTTGGCATCTAATATTTAGCAGCGATGCTATACAGGGCCTACAGGCCTTCCTGATTTTATATTTCATAATCTTACTCCCTCTGTATTTTGACTCATTTTTATTCTACAGGAGTGTTATAGTTCTTACAGATCGTTGTTTTAAATTTGTGCAATGTTAACTTTTCTTTTGTTTGTTTATGTATTTTGGCATGCTCTGTTTTATCTCTGTTTGTTTTATTGTGAAGCACTTTGAGCTCCCTTCGGTGTTGTAAAGCGCTATATAAAAAAATAAATTATTATTATATTATTATCATTGTCAGTCTACAATCAAGAGGCACCTTCATGAAGGTAAATACAGAGGGTTTAACTCAAGGTGCAAACCATTGGTAACACACACAAACAGAAAGGCCAGATTAGACTTTGCCAGAAAACATCTAAAAAAGCCTGCACAAATCTGGAACATACAGACAGATGAAACCAAGATTAACTTGCAGAACAGAAAAACTGGTGATGTTCAGCAAACACATCGATCATATTCAAAATATGATGAATCTCTCAGATTCTGTATCAACACTGTGGAAAAGATCTGTCTAAAACTGACAGTTTTTTTTTTATTTGGCTCATAGAGCTTAGAGAAATAATAACTGAAAAGAATAAACTAAATGTAAAAAACAAATGCACATTTAAAAAAATCTCATCTAGATGTTGGGATGCATCTTGGGGACTCTGACCAATCATTTCATACATTTTATAGTATAGGGAGAGACATTATCTGTTCTCGCCAAAAGCATTTAATTTACAAAAAACCATCTAGCTTAATAATGTAAGAAGTTGATTTTACTGCAACATTTAGAAAAACAGAAGCAAACTTAATGGTCTTAAAGAAGTCAGGAAGCCAAACCAGCGTTAGACAAAACCAGTACTACATGTGTGCACACTGCTGGCACACACATGAATGATGGATTTCCCAGGGTTATAACAGTCAAATAAATCTTGTCAGAGAAAACAAAACAGGCACAACAAAGTGACTGACCTAATAACTAATAATAAAATACTCACTTACACACAATTCAAACTACAATTTTACATCTCATTTTCATTAAAAGAAAGAGTGCATATTTTGAATATAACCATATACTGTGTGTGTAATGACAAAAGACAGGTTTCTTACCTCCATTATTTCTCCACATCTCCCTGGCACACATGTCAGAGGAGGTCAGATCTGATATTTGGATGTTTGGATTTGATTTGTAGTCATCTTAGGGAAACAGTAAAAACAAGACTTCATGTTGATGGATGGCAGGAAAGCAATTCTCTGGTCTTTTAAAGGTAACACCAATATTTTTGGAGCGAAAACATGAACAACTGCAACTTACTGTTGTTGCTGAATGAGAAGGACTGACTCTCTCTCATTGTCTCATTTCCGCTGTCCGACAGTGTCCTCTCCATCCTGCACGTGTGCGGCCTCCTCTTCGTACTCTTCCGGGTGCTAATACGAATGATGCCGCGCACCAGCCGACACTCTGCTTCTTGCTCGTCCATTTTGTGCTCCTCTGCCAGTGAGTTGATAAGCTGGTTGATGGCCTTGCTCTTCTTCAGGAACACAGAGTCTGAGGTGCACCTGGCCAACTCTTCGATCTGATACTCAGAGTAGAGCTCCAGCAACTTCTTAGTAATCAGAGAGTCCACATTCTCCCCACCAACCTCCCAGTCATCAAACCTCATAGACTCATGTAAGGATGTGTGGCCGGCCTGTGTTAGACCACCAGCTGAAGGCACATATGCTGGAGAGGTGGTTTCAAATTCTAAGTAATCTCTTGGACTGTCAACTTTGACTCCACCAATATGGACATCCTCTAGCCAGTCGACGCCATCCTCATCTTTGTTGTCTCCTGCTTTTGCAGCGCGAAGACTCACCTTCTCTGGCTCATCTGAAGAGCCCTCGTTCGGCACCAGGCATGGAGCTAAGATGGAACGCTGGCAGACTCTGTACAAGCCGCAGGTCAGCACACTACAGACAAAGATCCTACAGCCCCTTGGAGAAGCACAAGGATGGCAAGTTTGTGCTGCAGAGGGAGGGTCAGCTGAACCAGGAATGAAGCCAATGGTCTCAGACTCCTTCCCATCTGCATCTTTCAGGTGAGCTTTTTGGACTGTCTTTGTTTCTGAAGTGGGTAGCTTGTCTTCCACTGGGTCCACACAGCGCTCCTCATACGATGACCTCTGGCTACTGCCACGGCTTGGTCCGTGCCTGTGACTGCCATGCCCAGAGCTGTGTCTCTGACTGCCAGTGCTAATGGCAGACATGACTTACTGGCTCCAAAATCTGGACAAGCATGAGAGAAAATAATGTCAGCTGAGGTCTAACTAAATGGCAAGATGGTATTGAAATGTCATCACTAAGCAACTGTTATCAAAACTGTCAGATAAGACCTAAAATCGCTTGTAGCCACCTGAGGGTATCGCTCTTCAAAACAAACGTGAAACTACTATCCCTAGGTGGCAGGTAAAGTAACCTGACTGGTTCTATGGAGGATGTGTAAACACACAGTCAAATACAATTAACTATTATGAAAGTCACTGTATGATGTCATGGGGATTTCTGAAACTGAACTTAGTATGTAATTGTAAAATACTGGGGCTGTTACAAAACAAAAACTATCTGAAAAGGCTACAAAAACTATTACAACCAACTGCTGTATGCAAAACCATGTTCTGCACTGCACTGTTGAATCAAGGCACCAAACATAAATGTAAAAATCCTGGATTTTAATGACCCTTTGCACCTGTGGAAAGGTTGAGAACACACAGAGCATGGCCAAATATTTTATGACTATGTTTAAAAGTGTGAATACATCCGTCCTTAAACCAAAAACCAATGCTAGGAATCTATGAAGTGTGAATACAACAAACGTGACGTAAAACATCAGGTTTTATTAAGGTAAAAAAGCAGCGTTTTTGGATTGCAAAGATACCGAACTGAAGACAAACTCTTACTGAATCTGATATTATCTTCGTTTGTGTTATGCAGGCTATAGGTATTAATTGAAAACATGTAGAGTTTAAATTGCGTGATTCTCATATTGTGTATGGTAGTCTCTGTCATGACGACGTGTTGGGACGCATGTTTACTGTTGTCATATTTAGCTAAAAACAAACCAGTACAATGAAAATATTATTTAGCAGGTTTTCCCTGCACATTTAGTCAACATTAATTAATTACCAACCGCAAACATTAAGCCACGTTCCCTTTCGTGTGTAAAAAAGATTTTAACTTTCATGGCGACTTGTCATTGTTGCTCTTTCCTCCATTACACAGCAGGAGGACTTATGAACTTCTCAGTTAACATTACTCACAGTATACACGTTACATCCAAAAACCGATCCCCGACTTAATGCTATCTTCTTCACTTCGCATTAAACATGCCCCTTTTTAAGCCATTTTTGACTGTTCCTTATATAAACTCGACTCCAAAATTCCACTTTCATTTGAGTTCTCGATCAAATCCATGTACCTGTGCGTCAAGGTAGAGGAAGCGCATCAGGTAGTGACAATAAAGAGGTTAAACGTCCGATTATGACTTCAAAAATAAAACGCAAGTCAAACTGGCATTGTAATTTTATGTGTGTTTTACGGATTTCCGCTGATAATAACACACCATTAACTTATCTAAATCAAAGTGCAATATTTTTACAACATAAAACCTGCACCCACACCTCTCAAAACCAAAACATAACGTTGCCACACGTTTATTTTTGTGTAATTTCCGGCCATATTGTTGATAATTCCGTAAATGTCGCCACTTGATTAAACCAGCCACAGTGATGTATTAATTTACCGGATGCTGTTCAATTTGGCAACAATATAGAGATTTGACCGTTTCTATAAATGGCACTCAGAACGAAAACATATAATAATGACAAAGCTAAAATTATTCCAATAAAAAGTGTGGCCATGCAATCATAAACATACCGGAAATACATCGTTCCTATGTGTTTGACGACAGAGAGACGAGGCGTTTTATGACAAAGCAGCTAATCAGTGGTAGTCACTGATGTGTCAGGACTCTTGGCAGGAGAGCAGTATGCATCAACAATGACAAAGTTTTAGTGCTCATGTATGGAGCATATATGAATACTGCTGCTGTAACGGTTACCTAACAGTGCTAGACCGGCTAACGAGCTAGCAGTGGTAATGTTACTGGGGCTTACTGGTGTTAATAGTCCGCAGCTGGCTGAATGACACAGCCAGCGGGCTGTCCCTTGAATATGCGCAGTCTTTCTAGAGACAGACTACAGAGGCATGGAAAGGAACGGGGATGCAATTTGGAGCACGGGTCCTTAAGGTTATTAGCAGTTGCATACCCATGGTAAAGGTTTAACGCTAGTTTGTTTTCTCGTCGGAATCTGCTGCGTTCAGCTGCCTCAAAATACAGGAGTGTCGGTGATGCTGTTTGTTCCAGGCCAAATGCACCGGTGTTCCGAATTGGGACAGAGCAACCAAACTATGTTATAAATCATGAAAAACTGCGACTATCAACAAATCGAACCACAGGCTCTTCCTACACCGACCCCTATCCCTCCACCTCATCATGGAGATAGCAGCGACAAGAGAGACGAGCCGAGAAGACCGAGGAGAAAGTGGGAAGTTTTCCCCGGGAAGAATCGCTTTTACTGCGATGGACGGATCATGATGGCCCGGCAGAGCGGGGTCCTGCCCCTCACCCTGGCCCTGATTCTCGTCACCACTGGATTATTCTTTATATTCGAGTGAGTTCTCGGGAAACGGCTTTTTAATCGTGCAGGGGGTGAACTATTTGCAGAGATTCTGAAAATATGATAGGCTGAAGATAGTATAATTGATCTAAATTGCGAAAATTCAGTGTATCTCACCTTCCACAACAGTAAATCAGAAGTGCTAAACCAGTTGTGTAACTTGATTGATTTATATTGAACTGCCATCTGTCTGATGTATTAGATCTATCCCGAACCTTTAAAATGACGTATTCAGGTTAAGCAAGAATAATGTTTTGACTAGTTCTTAATTCATCTTAAAAAAATAACATTTCATAGTCTAGATTTCTAGTTAAAGTTTTCAGGAAGGTATAAGGCAGACTGCTTCAATCTAAAAATGGCATTTTTGTAAAGTTACTTAAATGTAGATATGTACTATTCACTATAGTGAAAGTGTGTTCTGTCTCTTGTGAGTCAGATGGTGATTAAAAGCACTGAATCTTAATTAAAACTAGATTCCTTGGTGGGTGAACAAAGTCGGCTCACTGAAATGAGACAGGGCTTTGTTTCAATCCTTTCCCAGCCTTTGCTATGGTCAGTGTGTCTTGGCAATTCATCCTTTGTCTGTCATCTCCCCATATTGCAGCTGTCCCTTCCTCGTCAAACACCTGACCAGCTGCATTCCTGTTATCGGAGGAGTTCTCTTTGGATTTGTGATCATCACCTTGCTCCAGACTAGTTTCACCGACCCCGGCATCCTGCCCCGAGCGACACCAGACGAGGCTGCAGACATTGAGAAACAGATTGGTAAGAGCCGACTCTGCCATAATCAGGTCAGAACTGTATGGATGTCTTAAATATCTTTGTTGTGGCACTGAATTTAGATTAATGGCACCAGAGGTTTCCTAAAAGCAATTTCATCCCCAAACTCAAACGACTTAAGCCCAGCTCATGTCTTTGTCACTTACCCTCTGCTCAGTAGCATTCAGTTATGTCAGACTTCCAGGACATACTGCTTTCTGCATTGTTATAAGAGCGTCACATGGTTTATTTTGCATCAGAGCATGATTTGTAGTTGAAATTGAAGGGAATGTTCTGCTAGTGTCAGCTATTTTACTTTGAAACTGAATTATAAGGCAAATTCTAGTGGTGCAGTCATCACTCGTACTGCTCCTAGTTCATTTTAATGATGATAAAACCTCTGACACATCAAAGTTTCTAAGTAGAGATTTTGAAAAGAGTCATGTATTGTGACTCAGTGTAATGAATCTTACACTGGCAGCCATCCAGGCCATTCTTCCCAAGAGAAGGTGTCTTGTTGACTTCTAAAGCTTCTTTATTTGGTCTGGACTCTGTCACGACTGAGAGTTTTGTCATCTTTCCAGGTTCTGTACAGATTTCTTGAGAGTTTGTTTTTTCACCAGAGACCTGTTGAAAGTAGTCCATGTTCACTGTAGGTTTTAAGTCTTGCCAGCATCGCCTTTCCTTTGCTTGCAGCATATTTCGGTATCGTAACCTTGGTCTAAATTTGGCTTCATGTGCACCTTGTAAATGCCTACTCATGGCCAAAGTTTAGGTGGTGATTTAAGATGTTCATGTTACCCAACCACACTGCTGTTGTTCCAGCTATTTTTGAAACAAAAACATGACATAACTACTACATATTTACCTACCACCCTATCTTTAAGGAATGTTTTGGATATTTTTTGTGGCACAGTATTCTCTGCACAGGTGTTGTGCAGAGTGACTCTATTCTGCAGAGTAAACCAGAGCTGTGTGGTCACATTGAGTGAGCGACACTCAAAGCCTACTTTTATGATGCCTATACTGTTCATTTGTTTTCACACTCATAGAAATGTTAAGAAATTGTATGTTTTATTACTGAGGCAAAAGATGGTGGCAGTGCTGTACTGGACTGCATTACACTGTATTTATGGGGGTGGGGGTTCACAGATACAGGTAATTTAGAGTTGCCAGTTAACCTAACTTGCATGTCTTTAGACTGTGGGAGGAAGCTGGAGGAAACCCACACATGCATGCAAGTTGGACAGAGAATTGGTGTAAGGAGGATTGCGAACGTTAGATGTACAAACTAGTTTGGTTAGCCTGCTAACAGCCTTCCACAAGTCGAAAATTATATAATTATAAATAAACAAGGCTCAGTGCTTCCTGTATATGTTAAATGGTGAGGGTGTAGGTGCTAATATTGATCGACCAGATCCTTATCTCTTATGGCCAGTTTAACTGATCAGTGAACCTGATTAATTTCATCTCTTTGGGTCTGTTTTTTCCATCCCTTCCTCTGGAGACAACACTGGTAACGCCTGCTATCGGCCTCCGCCACGTACTAAGGAAGTCGTCATCAACCAGCAGGTGGTCAAGCTCAAGTACTGCTTCACCTGCAAGATGTTCCGGCCTCCACGCACTTCCCACTGTAGCCTGTGTGACAACTGTGTGGGTGAGCTGTGGACACACACCAGCACTGTGACATTTATCAGCAATAAATAATAAATGAGGGCTTCACATGGCTACAGAGAACATTGTTCCTTTACTCTAGTACAGGCTGGATTGACTTAAATGATGTATCAGTGTAACGTTTGAACTATTACTTTAAATTAAAATGTCATATCACTGTGAATTTTCTCTTGCTGTGCTTCCCTTCTAGAGCGATTTGACCATCACTGCCCCTGGGTGGGGAACTGCGTAGGGAAACGCAACTACCGCTTCTTCTACACTTTCATTGTGTCGCTTTCCTTCCTGACAGCGTTCATCTTCGGCTGTGTGACCACACATCTAGCACTGAGTACGTGTCTATGCTCAGGTCCATATGTGTTTCAGGATTTTACTGCTAACTGCTGCTACCCCTGGCTCAAACAGGGCCTGTCAGGAACTGTTAGCGTGCAGCCAGAGCAAAAGCTGCCTGTAAAATACCTCACGATTTCATGGTTCAAAGCTTAGGTTGTTCAGTGTTTGTTTGGTCTCGCACGAACTGCCAGATCGAGGTTTACAACGTCACAGCAATTACGCTATCTGATATAAAAACCCCATAAATTTTTTTTTTTACACCGTGTTAAAGGCATGTAAATTTTTTTTTTTTTTTTTTTACTTGGTCCCATGTGGACACTTGATATCCACGAGTCCTAACTAAAGGGTTTTCTTAAAGACAAATAATATGAGCCGGACTGTGGCCTTACTGCTCACTCATAAAAAAGAAAATCTAATTGTTAGTTTGTGAGTACCAACACCTTATGCACCTTTATACCGTTTAATAGATTTAGAAAGACACTTGAGTCTTTTGTCATTGTAACTTTTTCCTTCTCTTTCAGGGGCACAAGATGGAAAAGGCCTGGTGTTTGCTCTGCAAGAGAGTCCAGGCAGATATCCTGCACTCGCAAATGTTTTTATGACTTCTTGAGTAAACAAATACAGTCAGTGGGTCTTTTTTTTAATTTTTATTCTTCCTTCCTCAAATACGCTGACTCTCCTTAACTGAGCCTTTCACTGCAGTGGAGCTGGTGATATGTTTCTTCTCAGTCTGGTCCATATTGGGCCTCTCAGGTTTCCATACATACCTGGTCTCTTCCAACCGGACCACTAATGAAGACGTGAGTACTGTGAGTCTGGAAAGTGTTTACACCCTTGGTGTCATGTGGTACAGGTCAAACAGTTCTCTGGATGTTTGTAAAATGTAAGAACATATGCATTTATATTTAGATTTGAAGTTTTTAGAAATGTATGTCAACTTGAACTATTAGATAATATATAATAACATCCACACACTGTCAGCGACTTAGTGTATTTTTTGTGGCTGTTTCAGTTGCTAATTAATTTACCATGAGTGTTGATGCTGTGCAGGAGCTTATTGCTTTTAGTCATCACTAATAATAGACTACTCATTCTTTAATAATGCAAAATCACAAAAACCAAACCTCTGCAGTAATCACATTTAAAAAAAATGTATGAAGTGAATGAAGACTTTTTAACATGAAAATGTCTATAATCAATATGCCGTTTTCTCTCCCAGATTAAAGGCTCCTGGTCAGGAAAGACTGGAGATGTCACCAACCCATACAGTCATGGAAACATCCTTATCAACTGTTGTTCTGTGCTCTGTGGACCTATGCCACCGAGGTTAGTCTTAGATCTCACATACAATATGAATTGCTGCTGGATCCATTCGGTACTCAAGATGAACTCCTGCTAACAGTTGTCATTTGCATGTCTCATCCTGATAGAGATTGGTTTTACTGGCATTACAGTTAGGGATATAAATATAATATGTGGTGTTGTAAGACCACCTAAACCGAGACCAAGTGAAGAACAAGACCAGAGCATTGCAGTTAAACTGAATTTGATAGTACTGGCTCATGTGATTCACTGACACTAATGACACTATATATACACTCCTATAGGAGTGAAGTAACTGGATATTTTTTTTCCTATAGAATTCCCAACATATTTTGTAAAAGCAGCACAAAATTTGTGGGCAGAACTGATAGTGTGTGTGAGCAAGGAGGCCTACAAACCTGACTCAGTTCCACCAGTTCTATCAGTATGAGCAGGCTAAAATTTCAACAACCTGTTGTAGAAGCTTGTGGAAGGCATCCTGACACGTTTGACCCAAGTTAACCAATTTAAAGGCAATATTACCAAATGCTAACCAAGTGTATGTAAACATTTGACCCACTGGGAATGTGATAAAAGAAATAAAAGCTGAAATCAATCTTTTTCTCTACTTTTATTCTGACATTTCACATTCTTAAAATGAAGTAGTGATCCAAACTGACCTAAGACAGGGAATGTTTATATGACTAAACGTCAGGAGTTGTGAAAAACTGACTTTAAATGTATTTGGCTAAGGTGGATGGAAGCTTCTGACTTCAACTGTACATTTTGTTGTTCAAATTCTTTGAAACTATTTTTTGATCATGCTCACAGTCCTTGCCTTCTGTTTGATGTGCACTCATTAGTAAGGGTACACGAGAGTCCAGACTAAAATAGTACTTGGACCTTCCTTGTTTCTGTCATGTTTCAGCTTGATCAACAGACGAGGTTTTCTGCCTGCTGATGAATCTGCTCAGACGGCCGGCATGGACATTGAGCTGCAAACTCTGGCCACAAAAAGCGAGATAAACGTGGTAGGAGGATATTCCCCGCTGGTTTTCCGCTTGCAGGAACCCCCCCCACCCTGTCTCTGCACCCCCCAACTCCCACTGAAACTTTTCCTTGGCCTGACAGGAGCCTTGTTGCCTGCTGTAGCCCAACCAGCATCTGTGTGCTGCCTGTTGTTGGCTGTGGTGTACAGGTTAATCTATTCATGTACTGTGTTTCCATTACAGTCAGAGGTTTACACATTGGTATTTATTATTCTATCAGTCCCTGGTAGGCTAGTGGTTAAGGCGCAGTGCTCTCGCCGCGGCGCCCCGGGTTCGAATCAGGCTTGCGTCAGGAAGGGCATCCGGCGTAAAACACGTGCCAAATGTCAATGTGACGATTCACTGTGGTGACCCCTAAACGGGAAAAGCCGAAAGTGACTTTCATTTATTATTCTATCAGTGTAAATGAAACTTTTAATGTTATTTAAAAATTGGACAATGTATAGTAGTGTGCATTGACAGTTTTTAGTTTTGTCGGTGACATCCCTAGTTGCAGGTGAACAGAACAGTTCAACATTTTGAGAAATTCTGCTTCCTGTTCAGAGAGTGAGATGAAAAGCTCAATTTAAATCTCATGGCTGTGGTCCAAACACTGGCCACTGTGGCAAGTATGTGGTAATGGTGAATTCCAGTGGGTCTTTAGAAGTAGAGACAAGTTAAAGTCAGTAATCTAACTTGCTAATGTTATTTGCAATATCTGTTTAGGGTTGCTAACATTGACTAATGTGTAGCCGCCATACCTGACCACGTGAGGCTATACTGTATATAATTAATGCAAGGGTTAAATAAAGTAGACTTAAATAATACAATACGTTATGTAAATACAACAGATTTGAAGTGGTGGTGACCTTTTTTCCCCAGACACAGGCCAGGTTAGCTCTCTCCTGTTTTCTTTGTGCTAAAAGCTAACCAACTGCTGGCTGTAGCTTTATATTTAACGTGCAGACATGAGTGGTATTGAGCTTCTCATCTCACTTGGGAGCTATTCTTTGGAATAAGGATGTAATAAGGTGTGGTTTGCTGTTGACCTTGTCAGCTTGATGATTTGAGATGTCATCTTGCTGCGGACAGGCTGAACAGCCATGTGTCCCCGTGGAAATGAACAAATCAGGGTAACTGCTGTTTATATTTTTGCTTTATCCTGTGAAGACTCGTGCTGTTTCCAGCTGTTTGTCACAGTGCTGCTCTCTTGTTGTTCTCTCTGGTGTGGGTTATAAAAGGATGACTGGAGAGCTGTGCAGTAACCTTTGGTTGCAAGATGCAACTGTGGTTCACATACAACTGTACTCTGAGACACAGTGCTCTCATTTTTAGTAGTAGAGTAGCTGCTGTTTGGCATCTATCATGGCAAACAGCTCGGCTGTTTACACAAAAAGAACAAGACAGCTATAAAAACGTTTATTTGTGTATATGGAATGAACAAAGCTAGCTGAAGCTATAGCTTTTCTAGTCTTAAATATATTTATCTTATTGAGTTGGGTTGTGTGAAAATGGTCATTTTGAATTCAGTTGGAGCACTGAAGCTGTGAGAGGGGCTGCAATACCTTGTTTTCATTCTGTGCTGGTTTACATTTTACTGTCATGTTAACAGTCTCACCTATGTTTAAAAGGTTCAAGTGCCAGTCTGCGATGACTCAAGCCACTTCACACCATATCCCACCAGTTTCCCTTCATGGCCTTATTTCATGTCTTTGTTTTGTTTTAAGTTGACCATCTTGCTTTTATACATATTTGTTTTGTCATATATTAAATTAAAAAATGTAAAAAAAAAAAAAAAAGTCCATGTAATTCATTGGATCATTTTTGTGCATGGATGGATTAATATAGGGGCCTGCCAGGTCTGTTCCCGGCCTTAAGCATCACGGGTCTGCTGGATCAGAGCCTCTGTATGAAGTGACTGTTAACAATTTGTTGGAATGGATTAGACAAAAAGATGCAAAATGGGCACAAGGACATGCACAGCGTCCTCATAGACAAAACAAATAAATCCTAAAAATAACCATGAAGAAATGCAAAGTGAGTAAAAAGAGCAAAATAGTCAAAGAAATGAAAAAGTCAGAAAACATGCATAAAGAGATGCAAGTAAATAAAAATCAAAATGATGAAAATGAGATGCAAAATAACCTCAGATGCAAAACTAGGGGTACAACAACTAACAAGCTTTGACTCTGTGGGTCTTTTCTTTAGGATTGTGGGGGACCTTTTACATGCCAGTGCCCAGGGACCCAGTCTCTAATAATCCATCCATGTCTGTGTACTCGTGTATTCATTTATCAGTTTTTCTTTGTTCATCCTCCCAGTTAACATGTAGGTGAATCGCAAAAAAATAGAATAGCATGGATTTTTTTCTTTTGTAATTTAATTCAAACAGTGAAACTTGCATATTCTAGATTCATTACAAGAAAAGTGAAATATTTCAAGTCATTTTGTTGTAATTTTGATGATTACTGCTTACAGCTTATGAAAATCAAAAATCCAGTATCAAAATAGAGTATTTCCTAAGATCAATCAAAAATGGATTGACAGTATAGAAATGGCCAACTTCTGAAAAGTATGTTCATTTATGCACTGAATTCTTGATCAGGGCTCCTTTAGCATGAATTACTGCCTCAGTGGGCCATGGCATGGAGGCAATCAGTCTGTGGCCCTGGTCCTGAAGGCCAGGTGGCTTGGATAGCAACCTTCAGCTCATCTATTATTGGGTCTGGTGTTTTTCACCTTCCTCTTGACAATTCCTCATAGATTTTTTTATGGAGTTCAGGTCAAGCAAGTTGGCTGGACAGTCGAGCACAGTACTATCATGGTCAGCAAACCAGTAAGTAGTAATTTTGGCATTGAGGGCAGGTACTAAGTCCTGCTGGAAAAGGAAATCGGCATCTCCATAAAGCTTGTCAGCAAACAGAAGCATGAAGTCATTTTAAAGCTCCTGGTATTCAGCTGTGTTGACTGTGGACTCTTTGTGAAACTCTCCCAAGTTGTTGAATTGGCTTTGCAATCTTCTTAAGGCCACAATCATCCTTGTTGCTTGTGCACATTCTTCTACCATACTTTTCCCTTCCAGTCAAGTTTTCATGAATATGCTTTGACATAGCACTCTGCGAGCAGCCAGCCCTTTGGGCAATGACCTTCTGTGGCCTACCCTCTTTGTGGAGGGTGTCAGTGATCATCTTCTGGACAAGTGTCAAATCAGCAGTCTTGAGTAGAGTAGGTACTTTATTGATCCCACAGTCTTCCCCATGGTTGCAGTTGTGTGTCCTGAGCTACTGAGACATACACTATTTATACTGCATGATTAGTAATTTACTCAAACTGAAATATTGTAATATTATGAGATGATGGATTTTTGATTTTCATGAGGTGTAAGCCATAATCATCAAAATTTAAACAAAAAATAAATTGAAATATTTCACTATGTGTAATGAATCTAGAATGAGTTTCACTTTTTGAATTAAATTACAGTAAAAAGGTTTTCCAGGATTTTCTAATTGTGTGAGATGGACCAGTACTGGAAGAAGAACAAAAGGTCCAAAAAATGGTGCGTCTATCCACCCAGTCCTAACTCGCTGTTCTGTATGTGGTCTGTCTCTGTGCCTGTCCTGCCACCGACACTAGGAGGAGAAATGTCTGGACTTTGCTGGGTCCTGCACTGGCTGATTAAGCCACATTTAGAGCAAGAAATGCAAGGCTTGAGTTTGGTAAGCCTGGTAAGAGAAAGGGAAAGTGATCGCTGAGCTACTGTACCAATTGCTGTGTCTACATGTTGGCTGGCTGCTACTGCATGGCTTTATAGTAAATACAGTACATTGTAGAGTACATAATTTAACAAAAACAGGGTTATAGTATATAAAATTAATTCACTATGTACAGATGTTATGGCTCAAACAATTCTACTACAGTGTGAGAATGTGGTCTTCAAAATTGGCCATTTTCATGTCACAGATTTCCCAGGATTTGTTTCTTAATCCAGAAAGATTTTTTTCCAGATACGTTTGAAACAGGATTTGGACGCTCAAGGGATATGAAAAGTATAAGCTCTGCTAATTGGTAACCGTTTCATCACTATTAGGACTATTGGCTGTGATTTAGAAGGTAGCGCGGGTAATCTCCTAACCAGAGGGTTTGCGGTTTGATTCCCCAACTTCTCCAACCACATATTGAAGTGACCTCGATCAAGACAATGAACCTAAAGTTGCATATTACCCTTATGCGAATGTGTGTGCAAATGGGTGAATGGGAAATTGTGTAAAGTGCTTTGAGTGTGCTGCAACATGTAGAAAGGTGCTATATTTGACCATGTACCAATAAAATAACACTACATGAACCAGAGACGAAAAAAAAAAAAAAGCTAGCATCCTTGTGCACTGTGATGAGTGATTTGTACAGTCAGTTAGAAACAAGGGGACATATTTTCCAACACTTTGTTCTGTTGAAAGAATAATGATGCAAGTTCAAGAAGCAATCTTAATGAATTTGGTGATCCCATGACTTTTGCTATTGCACTACCAGCACGTCAGAGTTTTAATTTGTTCAGTTTATGATGAACACCTGCAAATCCACTGATATCCCACAAGCCTCTTCTGTACTTTTAGCAAATGTTAGCATGCTAATGTGCTAAAACATGAACTTGATAAACATCCATCCATCCATTATCCTAACAAAGGTTGGGGGGGCAATGTCTCAGCTGACATTGCTAAACATTGTTTTTCTCCATGCTATCGCCAAGTGCTTGTTCAAGGGGGATTTGTTAGATTTGTCCTCTATAATGATAATAATGATAGTCAGGTCTTTTGCTTAAAGCATTACCTTAGCCTACAGAGCTGCTAGCATATATCTTAAACCCTTGTTAATAGAAAGGTTTCTTTACAAACTAGGGCATAGATTTAGAGAGATCTGTGCAGAACAGACAGGTTGTTTCTGACAAGATACTCAACATACAAGTGTAGGAGCCAGTGTTATCGGTGCTGGACACAAGGACTTTTAAAAATTAGTTTTTCAAGTACTCAAGTTTAAGCAATTTTTTGGCATACTCAGTTTACCTAGTGAATGCTCTCCCATGTTCAGTGAACTAATAACCTATATGATTCTCTAGGTCTGTGTATTTGCAAATCCATGGCATGATGCATGTGGGATCTTCTACTTCCAGCTTGCCTTTGCACAGCTGTTTCTGCATTAGCTGAAGTGATCTAACGCCAAACTATTTGTCCTGTTAAGTCTTGTCTCATCAGTTCGTCTTTTTTCCTTCCCCCATCTTTCTTGCACCTCCCCAGTGCACACAGGGAACTAAAGATCTGCTGGAGTCGGCCACTCTCTCTCTGCTTCTGTCCACATCTTGTCCTCAGGGGAAACCTCAGACAGCTCAAACCTGCCTAGACAACAGCTCCACGGTGAATTCTGACCCCTCACCGGAGCTCTCCACGAGTTGCGGGGCCCGTCATACCACCAACTCCACAGGCGATACTTCTTCTCCACATCACACTAAGACTCGCTCAAAGAAAAGCAAACAAGCTACTGTGCATATTCACAACCCTGCCTTTGATGTCCATGCTTCTCCTACCTCTTCAGACACTGGCCCCAGCTCCAAAGCCAGGGACCACAAAGGTGCCAGGTTTACCACATTGCACTGACTGACTTAAATGATGACTTTCTCAAGGGAAAACACACATTGTTTGAAGCTTGCATGCTGTAACACAGAAGTGGTATGAATTCATATTTTTCTTTTATTATTTGTTCTCTGAAAATGCTGGGCCTAGGCCTTGACGAAAGGGATGTCAATCACAGACACGTTATTGCGTGATCAGTCTGCAGTAGAAATAGCAGATGAAGATTGTTCTGGCTGTTAAGCCAGCCTCTGGTGCAGAATGAAAAGCACATGAAATGATGACATTTGTAAAATGGAGGACATTAGTATACATATGACTTTCTTGTGATTCTCATGTAAAACATGGATTTTTATCAGCATGTCAGATCCACTATTGTGAGACAGTGGCTTTGGTGTATGAAACCCTGGGAGTTTGTGTGGAAGGGTTAAGGCTCTGTATGTATCAATAATGAGAGAAGTTGCTCCTAAAGGGAAAGTCCATCTCAGATTTAGAAATCACATGTGTAAAATCTTTAATGTTGTGCTACTCAGATGATAATGTGAATCTGAGCCAGTTTCTCCTCAAGCTGAGTAGCAGAGACAGTTTGTACTGATGATGTCATGTTTATCTGTATAAGTGGCAAATGATGTTAAGTCATGGGATTTTGGGAGCAACCCCAAAGTGTTTTCAAGGATATGTGGACATTTTCTTTATTATCGTCATACCTGGGGGGGAAAAAACATGCACACCATCAGTACTTCTTATTATATATTCTCCACCTTTATAAAACTACTGGAGAGATGAACACTATTTTTCCAAACATGCTGCCTCATTTGCCCTTATGATTTTAGTGGAGACAAGTCCAGTTGAATTAACAACTGTGTCTCAGACGTTCAGGCACCATTTGTTTACTACATGACAGTAATTACACATTTGTTTGGTAATATAAACCACTAATGCATGATATCAATGGATGTGTATGCATAAAAGCACTGGTCCATTCATTTTCTGTAACCCACTTCCCCTGCACCTTACCAGTGTAGAAACTGGGCTGAGTTTGTGTCCAGCAATTTCAGTGACTTTCCAAAAACTGACAATCTGCAAAGCATGCCCACCTGACACAATGGTTATGCCCTTTCCCCTTTTGAACGGTTAATTGTGTCTCAGCACACAATTCAAGCAGGGATTTCATCCATGTTTTCTTTTAGACATGTTCAGATTCCACTTTGTACAAGCTAGTTTGTTTCACACATATCCTAACCTTAAGGCAGGTTTTGCACTTTTTACTTAATCGTGTTTAATATATTTATTATTTCAATTTTTATCACGATCCATGATTCAGTACCAGTTCAATTGTTAGTTCAATTATTTATAGATCAATTTACTATTAACTAGTTGACATATAGCAAGAGTGGGACCAGGTAGTATCTCAGCAATGGAGTACTTGATATGCATTTAAAACATCATAAATAAATCACAGACGGTTGACCGGTTTGGCAGTGGGTCAGTAATGGTGTGGGGAGGCATTTCTTTAGGGGGCCGCACAGCCCTCCATGTGCTCGCCAGAGGTAGCCTGACTGCCATTAGGTACCGAGATGAGATCCTCAGACCCCTTGTGAGACCATATGCTGTTGCGGTTGGCCCTGGGTTCCTCCTAATGCAAGACAATGCTAGACCTCATGTGGCTGGAGTGTGTCAGCAGTTCCTGCAAGACAGAGGCATTGATGCTATGGACTGGCCCCCCCGTTCCCCAGACCTGAATCCAATTGAGCACATCTGGGACATCATGTCTCGCTCCATCCACCAACGCCACGTTGCACCACAGACTGTCCAGGAGTTGGGGGATGCTTTAGTCCAGGTGTGGGAGGAGATCCCTCAGGAGACCATCCGCCACCTCATCAGGAGCATGCCCAGGCGTTGTAGGGAGGTCATACGGGCACGTGGAGGCCACACACACTACTGAACCTCATTTTGACTTGTTTTGAGGTTATTACATCAAAGTTGGATCAGCCTGTAGTGTTGTTTTCCACTTTAATTTTGGGTGTCACTCCAGATCCAGACCTCCATGGGTTGCTAAATTTGATTTCCATTGATAATTTCTGTGTGATTTTGTTGTCAGCACATTCAACTATGTAATGAACAAGGTATTTAATAAGAACATTTCATTCATTTAGATCTAGGATGTCTTATTTTTGTGTTCCCTTTATTTTTTTGAGCAGTGTATGTGTTAGCTTGTGCAAATTATACATTTTCTAAAGTAATTCATTTTGTATTTGAAGTAATGTTTCTGTCCATCCGGTGAATTACAACTACATGTAGTTATTTGATCCGTTGTTAATGCGTCTTAGCTTAACTAAGCTTATCAAGTCTTAATCTGTTTGCCTTTGCATTCATGTAACTGCTGCTGAAAGATTTCCTCTCACCTGAATTGTTTTTCAGTTCCTCCTCTTACTGTGAAGTCGAAATGCCATAGATTCATAAACCCCTGTGCTGTAAGAGCATTTATGTTACTGACACTGTAGACGCAGGTTCAGATTTACCTTGTTCACATAACACTTTTCACTGACAATATTAAAATGTTTATGAGTCATAGAACAATAACTGATAGATATAATGAGCATTCTTAAATCTACACAAAAACGTTCTCAACATAGAAGTTCATTCAATTTGTTTTATTTATGGTGTTTTCTGTCATTATTGTCATGTTAATTGTCATTCTGATGGTGACAACTGCTGGATTAATTTTTTTGCTGGGGAGAAACCATAATTAAATCCACTACACCCACAAAGAGTTAAACTTTTTAAAAAATCCTATAATGTTCACACAAATGCAATGAACCCCCCTACACTAAATGTAGGTACACACACACACACACACACACACACACACACACACACAGAGTTTGTCTGTAGTTATGCAGAGTAGAGCAGCATCATTTCATAAGCAGTGTTCACTATGTCAGAATGTCAGAATCATCCCAACCCCCC